TACAGGTGCCCGCCACCACACCCAGCTAACTTTTTTTGTATTTTTAATAGAGACGGGGTTTCATCCTATTGACCAGGCTGGTCTTAAACTCCTGACTTCAAGTGATCTACCAGCCTCGGCCTCCCAAAGTGCTGGGATTACAGGTGTGAGCCACCACCCTCAGCTGATTGTTGCTGTTTTAAACTAGTAAGTTTTGGGTTACTGTAGCAACAGAGTTGGAACACTGGGGTAACCAGACCTGGTCAAAACTGGCTGAAGATGCAGGACAGCCACCAAGTTCCTCCCCATACCCAGGCTCATTCCCTGAACTGTTGTTGCAGGTTCTCCTTGACTCATGTTAGCAGAAGACATAGGAGGCACAAATAACTCCAGACTGTCAGGAGACCCAAATCCTATGTCTGGCTATAGAATGCTGCACACTGACACCAAGATCTGCACATCTTTGGGGGCAGAAGTCAGCTTTTCAGTTGGAGAGGGTGGAGAAAAAACCCACGGTTCTGTGAGCGGAAACAGTGGTAGCATTGGCCCTGGCAGGAGACGGTGTTTGGGTCTCCATGGCCTGCAGGAAGGGAGAAAAGGAAGGCTGTGTCCTGCCAAGATGAGTTGAGAGACAGAAGCCCTGTGGCTCCTGTGGCTTTTTTTCTTTCTTTTCTTTTTTTTTTTATTTGAGACGGAGTCTTGCTCTGTCGCCCAGGCTGGAGTGCAGTGACGCGATCTCGGCTCACTGCAACCTCTGCATCCCGGGTTCAAGCAATTCTCCTGCCTCAGCCTCCCGAGTAGCTGGGATTACAGGTGCCCACCACCTCGCCCGGCTAATTTTTGTATTTTTTTAGTAAAGGCGGGGTTTCACCAGCTTGGCCCGACTGGTCTCGAACTACTGACCTCTTGATCCACCTGTCTTGGCCTCCCAAAGTGTCCACCCACCTCGGCCTCCCAAAGTGCTGGGATTACAGGCAAGAGCCACCTTGTCCAGCCAGCTTTTTTTTACTTTCTTTCTTTTTTTTTTTTTTTGAGACAGGGTCTCACTTTGTTGCCCAGGCCTGCCTTGAACACCTAGGCTCACACAGTCCTCCTGCCTCAGCCTCCCAAGGAGCTGGGATTATAGGTGCATGCCATTATGTCTGGTCACATTCTGATTCTGACTGGTGAGGGGTTGTGTTGAATTGCTTTGTCTGTGTTCACCCCGGTATAGAGCCAGCTAGAGTGTAGGTCAGATGAGTCCCGAGTGACTGGCGAGACAGCTTGAATGTAAACATCATCTACAACCCAGTTGAGTAACTGCTGGAGGAGGAGGGAAGGGGGCAGGGAGAGGCATATAGCAATTTATCATTGTCCCCTCAAGAGTAGGCAGAAACACAAACCAGAAGGTGCGAGAGGATCACTTGAGCCAGTAGGTGGAGGCTGCAGTGAGCCAAGATGGCACTCCTGCACTCCATTCCTTGTGGGCGGGTGGAAATTAGGAAGAGAAACTAATTCTAAGTGGAGGGATGCAGCTAGGCTTGATCAGAGAGGTAACACCTAAACGAAGCAGTGAAGGCTGCACTGGACTTTCACAGGTAACAATAGACTGAAGAGCATTCTGGAAGAAAGGAGCAGGGAGCAGGAGGTAACACTCTTAGGCAATTCAGAATCATGGTGAAGAGTAGTGGCTGGCATCAGACTGCCTCGGTTTGAATCCCAGCTTCTTCATTATTTGTGTGACCTCAGTTTCCCCACCTATGAAATGGGGATAATAAAAGTATGCCTCATTGCTGCAAGGATTAAAGACGTTTAGCACAGAGTCTAGTATACTGTGAGCACTCAGTATGTGTTGGCTGTTACTACTGTTTGGTGTGTTTGAAAATCGAATAATAATATTGGTATGGCTGCAGTATGGAATATGTAGGTACTGATGGGAGACAGGTCCAGAAAAATGTGATTGAATCCAATCATGAAGGACTTTTTATTTATTTTTATTTTTTGAGACAGAGTTTCACCTTGTCGCCCAGGCTGGAGTGCAGTGGTACGATCTCAGCTCACTGCAACCTCTGCCTCCTGGGTTCAAGTGATTCTCCTGCCTCAGCCTCCTGAGTAGCTGGGATTACAAGCATGTGCCACCATGCCCAGCTAATTTTGTATTTTTAGTAGAGACGGAGTTTCTCCATGTTGATCAGGCTGGTCTTGAACTCCCCACCTCAGGTGATCCGCCCGCCTTGGCCTCCCAAAGTGCTGGGATTATAGGCGTGAGCCACTGCACCGGCCTCATGAAGGATTTCAAATGCCAGGCTATGCCATCCAGACTTTATTCTGGAAGCCAGTGGATGCCGATGCCAATCCTGTCAGACCAAACTTATTTCATAAGTATTGTGGGCTGGGCGTGGTGGCTCATGTCTGTCATCCCAACACATTGGGAGCCCTAGGGTGGTGGGAGGATTACTTGAGGCCAGGAGTTCGAGACCAGCCTTGGCAACATGGTGAGAAACCCATCTCCACACAAAAAAAGAAAAAAAATTAGCTGGGCTTAGTCTCACACACCCATAGTTCCAGCTACTCAGGAGGCTGAAGTGGGAGGATGGCTTGAGCCCAGGAGGTTGAAGCTGCAGTGAGCCGTGATGGCACCACTGCACTCCAGTCTGGGTGACAGACCAAGACCCTCTCTCTCAAAAAAAAAGAAAGAAAAAAAAAAAAGGGAAAAAAAGAAAATTATAATAACGTGCCATTATTATTATTTTTACCTCTCAAACTGTCAAAGATCAATGAGGTTTATAACACATTCCACTGGTGAGATGCACGGAAACAGACATTCATACATTTTTAGTAGGAGGGTAAAATGACACAACTGGGCAGTATCTACCAAGTGAAAAAATGTGCGTGCCCTTTAAGTCAGTGATTTTACTTCTTGAAGAGACGTTTTTCAGATACATGTCCACATATTGGGAATTACATGTTACTCATTTTAGCATGGCTAGTAATAGCAAACAGTTTATAATAGCAATGCCATGTTATCTATTGCAGCATTGTTTGTAATAGCAAAATACTGAAAATAATCTACATGTCCAGCAAAAGGACCAATAAATTATGATACATATATACAGTAGAATACGATGCATCCCTACAAAAGAATGAGGAATCATTTTGTATACTGATATGAAATAATCGCTAAGATATGCTGTTAAGTGAAATAAAAAAGAAGGTGCACAATATACCACCATTTATGTGAAAAAAGAAAAAGCATGCATTTGCTTATGTGTGCTTGGAACGAATACCTCTGAGGGGATCTATTAGAAACCATTAACAGCAGTTGCCTCACAGAAGGGGAATGGCTATGAGAAAAATATGGGAGACGTTTTTCACTGTTTCACCCCTTTGTACCTAAAATAACAAGAGATGGGGAGAGCCACTATCTTTTTAAGCAGCTGCTCCATTCCTACCGGGTTCTATTCAACCTGAGATCAGCTGCAAGCCCGCAGCCTTTTTCTCAGGCACCTCTGGCAAACCAAACTTCCTAGATCCTATGCTTATGCAGCTGACTTTTTTTTTTTTTAATCTAAATGCAGGTCTCTCCATTTACTCTTTTAAATTTCATCCTGCTGGTTCCAGCCCACTGTTTCAAGTTATTTTAGAATCTTGACTCTGAAATACTAGCTTTTCATCCCCACAGTGGTGCCTTCTGCAAATGTGGTGAGTGTGGTGGGCACGACCACTACTAGGCTGACCAGGGTCTAGGAGCACAGAACTAGACATACCTCCTCAGCAAGCTCTGCAGCAATCCGATAACCAGCTGGGGTGAAGGAGCACAGCGGTTACATGAATCCACCCGACTGGGCAGTCTCTGAGATCCATATTTTCCTACTTGTCTCTTCAATCATCAGACAGTGTTTAACTGGAAACAAGGAACACTATGTATAATCCAAGGAATTTTCCTAATGGCCTTCTGAGTAAATAAGTAACAAATTATTGTTGACATTTTTATTATTTTAACCATTATCTTGTTCTTTGTGAAGATACCACTTGTTTTTCTAGGTGTTCTCAAATCCATGGTTTAATGTTATATTCTAGAACAGATTTTGAGGGAATTCACCTCAAATGTGCCCAGGATCTCCCTTTTCTTCCTTTTTGTCAGGATATTTGCAGCCGTCCAGGACCGCGGCCCCTGTCCTTTTCGCCGCAGCTTTCATAGCCACATTGGCAAAGGTCCCTGGATCTTATCTGCAAAGGTCTGTCGTCACCTTGGGATTTGCAGCACATTTTGATTGGCGAGGTGGTTAGGTTTTCTCTTAGCTTTCCTTCTGTTTGGGGTTGTTGTCCTCTAACCCGTGTTTTGCTGAACTCTTCCCAGTCTGGAAGTGCTTTTCCTCACGGGAGAAAGAAGAAAATCCGGGTTGACTATTCTGCTGTCTCTGAAAACTGCCAACCTGACATCTTCATTCCCAGGTGGAACCCTGTCTCCTCCTTTTTCCTCTTGCTTGAACATAACCAGCAATATCTTTTATTGTCTGCACCTTTTCCAAGTCTCAGTTTATCACGAACTTCGCCTTCCCTTCTATCTCTTGTACCCCACTTTTTAAATTTTGAACTTATTAGAGAGCACTCTACAGAGCCACACTGGTGTCTTTGGCTCTCCTTTTCTCTGCACAGGGATTTTCTGCAAATGGGATAGCCTAATTGATCTCAGAGCTTCCTATCCCTCTTGTGCCATATTGCCATCTTGCCTTTAAACTTAGAATCATAACTTTTTTCTAATTTTTCAAATCATTTTTCTGGGATTATTTCTTTATCCAATCATCCATTCATACCATGCCCATATGCCCACATGCCCTTCCTTCCATATCCAGCTTTCTTTCTCCTTTGGTTCCTGTCTCATCAACAGCACCAGGGGAGTCTTCCCCGTCAGAAGCACGGTTGGGGGAGCAGCTCCCTGGCAGCTTTTTCTTCCAGCTGAGAGGAAACTGTCATTGATGAATGGGAAGAGTTTATCAGCCGCTCAGCGACTAGCTGGGTGAGACTGTAGTTACCAGGACAGGGCAGTCCCCAGCTCGGTGCCTGCTGCTCTCAGAGCACGTCAGGCAGTCAGATGTGTGCTTCCCCGGGGACACGACTTCCAAGGGCTCATCTAGCAGTCTCACCCTCACATCTGGTTCCCTCCAAATGGGCAGTGTGCTGTGGTGTAAAGCTTGCAGGATTTGGACTTCAATACACCCAGGTTTGCATTCTAGCGAGTCACTTAAATCTCTTTGACCTTTCATTTCTCTCACTTAAAAAGTGTGGCTATTATCAGGCTCACGGGGTGACTGAGATGATGTTTGTATGTACCTGCCATGGAAGGTTTCAAACACAGCAGCTTCTGTGCTCAGCTTAGCTTCATGGAGTCTCATGTGTCACATGTTCTGGGTGAACTGTTGTTTTCTTTCCCTTTCTATTAAAGCTGTTTCTTTTGGACAGGGTGTAATGTATGTCTTTGCCCAGTGAACCTTCCTTTGATGAGCCATGCATCCCACTAGAAAACAGACCAGCTCTGAGAAGAGCGGGGAGGGGGGAACAGAACAGTCCAGCTGAATGTATGGGGTTCTTCTGGGGCTGACTCTGGACCTCCACCCCTTTAGATGGGCCTGTGACTCAGGCCTGGCTAGCATCTCCCAGACACACCAAATGCTTCACAGATGGGTGTGTGTTTCAAGCCAGAGTCCTCCTGGGATTTTTGCTGGAGCTCTCCAAAGAGATTTTGCTCTTTCTCTGGAATTACAAGTTCTAAGAAGCCATGTGAGTGGAGCTGCCAGTTGGCATCTTATTGCCATGTGGAGAGTCCATCGGAGAGGGAAGCCAGCCGAGGGGTGGGAAGACTGAATCCCGACGCCCTTGTTTGAACCCCTGGATTCACCACTAGCCCTTTTTATTACTTGGGCCAATGAATTCCTTTTCTTAATGTAGCCAGTTTGAGTTGGGCTTCTGAGCATCTAACTGTTGAGCATACAATGTTGATCCTTTCATTATTATAATAAAACCACGAGTTCCCTCCTCTCATTAATATTCATACTTAACTCTTTGTTAAAATCTGTGCTCTGATCATTATGCAGAAAAATACTGGCACTCAATGCATGTGCGTGCCATATTAGAAATTCCAGACTTGCAGACCCATGTGAGAATCCTGGCTTTGCTATTTACCACCACTCTTGGGCAAATCAGTGAACCCTTCTGAGTTTCACTTTTCCACCATTAAAATGGGAGCAGTATTTAGCTTATATGGCTGTTTTATGGGTTGGAGCTAATGGTGACATGGGCAGGGCACATGGTGAGCCATCACTAAATATTATTAGGTGGTAAGAACATTTATGTTCCCTCCGTAGCTTTGACTCTGACTATGATGAATCTGTGTAATTCCCACACTTGGTTCCATGTCACATCTCTTAGCTACCGTGGTATCCAGGCTTATGGTGGCTTTGACCAAGAAGAGGATAAGAACTTGCAGGCTTTGAGAAAAGATGGGAGATGAGGAGGTGGACAGAAATTTCAAAGTTCGACTGGGGGAGATGGAATTAGTCTTGTTTAAAACACTTGTGACTGCAGAACTTTACACCCACTTTCTATTTATAAATAGCCCTGTCTCTCAGCTCAGCTCCTCCTGCACAAGGCTTCAGTGGAAGATAACAGACACAGAGAGCAGCTGCCAGTGCGGCACAAATGTGCAGAGCAGAGGCTGTTGGGGAACTGGGGCTGCATGTGGGCTCAGGGGCGGAAGGATTAAAGACACTAGGTCAAGAAATCTTGGCTGGGTGCAGTGGCTCACGCCTGTAATCCCAGTTACTTGGGAGGCTGAGGCAGGAGAATCACTTGAACTCGGGGGGCGGAGGTTGCGGTGACCTGAGATAACACCATTGCACTCCATCCGGGGCAACAAGAGCGAAACTGTCTCAGAAAAAGAAAAAAAGAAAAGAAAAAAAGAAAAAGAAAACGAAAAAAAATCTTAAGGAGGCCGGGCGCGGTGGCTCACGCTTGTAATCCCAGCACTTTGGGAGGCCGAGGTGGGTGGATCATCTGACGTCAGGAGTTCGAGACCAGCCTGGCCAACACGATGAAACCCTGTCTCTACTAAAAATACAAAGACTGGCCGGGTACGGTGGCTCACGCCTGTAATCCCAACACTTTGGGAGGCCGAGGCGGGCGGATCACCTGAGGTCAGGAGTTTGAGACCAGCCTGGGCAACATAGTGAAACCCCATCTCTACTAAAAATA